GTCTTAAAAAACTCTGTTTACAACCCCGAAATATCTTAATATGGCTGGAGCTAGGAATTATCAAAGTACCACACAAATGTTCAATTTGACGCACACATGCACGTACCACTCCCACACTCTGTTATGACAGCTGCAAAAAATTCAGAATAATATTCGTAATTAAAGATCATCAAAAGGTAAGAAACTGTGAAATATCATTACCGCGTTCCCTTCCGCTTCTTCTACGGTTAAAACAGAATGCACCTCCGGAGTTTTCGTAGCGGTCATCCTGAAAAAAAAAATACAAAAATTACTTCTGAAAAAAAAATCGAGCTCTGTAAAAATGCTTTGAAAAAAATAAAAAGCTTCTGAGAAAAAAATCACCATTTTCCTTCATAAATAATGCTTTGACCAATCACAGGCTGTACATTTTCTTCAAATGTTAAAATATTTGACAAGATAGGCCTGCTGAGATCGCGCAATAGCATATGTCCACTGCAAAAAAACCAATTGTCCATAGTTGTTACAGCAAAGAGTAAATTAGGTTTAGTGAGGAGCGCTGAAAAAGTATTCCAACAAAGGAATCAATAGCAAAGAAAAAGCAGCCCAATCTACGTCAATGAGGCGAAAATGAGATACGAAGGAACAACGGATGGGGCAGCAGAATCTGATGCATTGATTCCATTGTTCGAATACTTTATGAAGCCCTATCAATCAGCGGCTAGTTTCCTGGTGAACCTGCTGCTCGTTTTTCTTTCTTTTTTCTTTCCTTTTAGCAAAAACGCGAGATGCAACTAGACCTGTTCATCTTTTAGTAATATCTTTTAGTAATACCTACAACTATTCGTAGCAAACATCATCCGTAGAAGATATATGCGAAACTAACTGAACAAGAATAATTCAGGAGCACTAGACCTCGAATCCCATGAATCCGAAGGATGTCACTAGAAAAAGTGGCCAAGTGGATTACTTTAAATCATCAATTCATATTCCATTATCATCATTATTTTATTTACGAGAAATTAAGATTCGAGAAAGAAAATCAAAATTACATTGTGTCTACCGGGCCGAAAAACCACGCATTTCCAAAGCAGGAGCAATTGCTTTCTTCGTTCCATAAAAAATACAGCCTGAAAAAGTTGCATGGAAAAGACGAGTCATGTTTTCACAAAAAAAAAAATACAACTAAAACTGTTCTCAGCCAAAATATAATTCAAACCTTCTAGTAGATTTGTCATGTTTCAGGAGGAAACTTCTTCTTTCCATGAAAAGATGCGCATTCGATTTTTCGTATGGAAGACGAATGTCAAAATTTATATCGCTTAAAGCTATTGAGCCGCATTCAAACCACTTCTTCAAGTCCCTGTCGAGGACCGACGCAAATTGTTTGAGATGAATCTTAAAGCAATTGAAAATGGCGAAATTTGGTACTAAAATTTCACTTATAACTAAAACTTTGTCAACATCTGTTAAGCAACTAATTTAATAATATTTAGAAATATTTTATTTTTTGCATCTCAAAGTCTCATTATTTTAGACATTCAGAATTACACCATATAAAGGCAATGTTAAAACAGTCCAAGCACTTGGGATTATATTTTTATCATCTCACAGCTTATCTTTAGCTGTGCAGTTGGCAACTTTTCCAGATTGTTTGGCCAATGTTACATCACCCGATAGCCACTCTACTGGCAGCTCTAGCCGTTTTAAGAATTCTTTAGTGTATGTTGAGCATCCAATTCCGAAAACCCAAACCACAGTAAGGCATCTTACCGACTGAGAGCAGTTCCCGTAAAATGCTTGTAATATCGAGTCTGCCACACGGGCTTTACTACCAAGGAACAAAAACTGGGTGCTTTTAATTTTATTGTCAAAATGCGCGGCACAGCGAGCGACCGCTCGTCTGATTTTTGAAAAGCCATGTGCCTTCAAGGATCATAGAGGAGAGGAAATATAGACAAATTCGCTCCAATAATACCAAAATTATTACACCTAGCGTTCGCATGATGACAGCAGCGTTAAATAATGACCATGCAGGAACCCGAAATAATGAAAAATTTCAGATTATCAAAGGGATACAGAAGATGTCCTTATTCAGAAAAAAAGATTTTCAAGTAGCCAAAGAGGCAAATGTAACAAAGCTTATAATCATTGTGTTTGACAAAATGTAATCAGTTCAAAGTGATCTGACGTGTGCCAGTGGAATAGCTTGTAACCTTACGCTTCAAAGGTATCAATGAACCAACTTACCAAGGGCAGCTTGAGAAGGAAGGCTGCACAAAATGAGACACAGTGACAGTTGCAATATGCCAAACGAATTGGTCGTAGTTCGAGTTGAAAAGCACATCGTTCCTCTGCAACAATGAGGCTCAGCTGCTCGACGCTAACACGCAACGATTTATATTTTAGCTGAAAACAGTTTCAAATTAGCTTCTAAATTTGGTGGAGTCGCTATAGTACTAGTCAAAACAACTGCGCACGTCCTTATCTGCATATTTAGAGGACCAAACTAATAAATGATTCAAGGAAGTAGCATCGTCCTGCACAACAAATTCAAGGGCACTCTGAAGTGGTCGGAATAATTCAAACTGTTAGAAACAAACATTTGCTGACAAGGATGTGTGAAATGCGAGCTGAAAGAAACATTTAAAAAAATGTATTTGACAGGGAAGTCAAAAATCCAATTTTTTCAGATACTGTGGAATATTGGGGAGGGAGATAAAACCATTCCAAAATAATACAGTACCAGAGAACATAAAACTGCCAGGGAATTTCTTATCTATGAGCAAAGACAATAAAAGGGGTGTAGCGGCAGAGTACAACTAGATCCAACGTCCAGAAAAGTCTCTACTTTCACTGACGATATAAATTTAGATATTTCAGGATTATGGAAAAAATCCTAAAAAAATAAAAGTGAAAACTAAAACAAAAATGAAAACTGAATTGGAATGTTTCGGTCCATTAAGTCGCATACATTCCCATTCAGTGCTGCAACTGAACCTTGTCAGTGTATGAATACTAACTATTCTTCATCAGTCAGACATATAATTGAATAAATCGATGAGGCACGAGTAAAGTTGTAAGGAACAATGATAATCAACGAACCAGTCTTTCTGGCACGACGATTCAAATCAATCCAAGGCCAGAACATTTAGCCTCTGCCAAATTGTTTCATGTCCAGTAAACAGAAATAACTAACGTTTTCTTCGGATTCACAATTCTTAATTCGTCCTTTCCCATCAATCAAATTTAGCGCTGCGTGTGGACAAGAACGTATATCGTTCATATGCATACAAAAATCATACCTAGAAATATTGCTGAAATAATCTCGAAGGTACAAGTAAAATCAAACAAAACTAGAAACCATCATGTGCAGTTAGTTCACTTTTTAGACTTTATTTATGCATCATTTTGTCAGTCAGTTCTTACGTTTCTGCAAATATTTGTTTTGGAAAAAAAAAGGACATACTTTTCGGGTAATAACAATTCATCGTCAGAACATAGAGCGAGAACCAGAAGCGCCTCGATACACTGTGCAAGCACAGCAATCTGAAGCAAAAAAAGAATTATTTTTGACTGACTTCTGGAGAATTAATTATTAGGCGATGCAGCACTGGTGAAAACGATTGTAGCACTATTTGCCTGGATTTAGAGGGCTTTTTGCTGGATTTAAATTATCTGGAACACAATATGGTTTGTCTCAGATGACGAATAAAACAGTTGTTCCAATATCTCAAGCATGCAAATCCAGCGAAAGCATTCTGAATCTAAAAAAAAAGTATTTATCAATGATTCTTAACGCTTCTTAAGCAGAACAAGTATACCATACCTGTGTTGGATGAAGTTTTCCGAGCAGCTGTCCAATAGCAATTTCCATGAGCCATCCATACTCCAGTGTTGCTGCATCCCATGGTACATCCAAATCAGAAAAAAGTGCTTGACCA